TCAACCACACATTTCCCATCATATCACTATTCAAAAATCAATTTTTCTCCTTAAAATCTCTACCAAACACACTCTAAATGTACATCCTCCCTTACATATGGTTGGTATTCCTCCTATATGAAATAAATCTGTGCAGTGATGTGATTGGTGAATTTAAAATTTAAAAGTGTAGATTTTATCATGTAGAAGAGTGTAAAATAAGTGTAAGAGAGATTGTATATGTAACGTGATTGATAACAAAAAGGCCAAAAACCAAGGATTCCATAACCCAACACAGCCCCTGTTTGACACCCTTTTTTTTCTCATTCTCATTCTCATTTTTTTCTCTTACTTCATTTCAACCACACATTCTCCCAATAAAATAATATTACACACAAATCTAAAACTTTTCATAACTTTTCCACCACACATTCTCCTATCAATCACTATTCTAAAAATTTTTATCTTCAAAAAATGGGTATCAAACGCACCCACAATCATAAATATAAGCTGGCTTCCCTCCATTTCCTCCCAAATATCCCCTACCCCACACACAGTACAAAAGATCAACGGTCAGTATCAAAACCATCGTATCATCGACCAACTGTGCTTTTACACGTATTAGTCAGAGTTGATTAGTTGAACGTGCAATTTTTTCTAAAATATTTTATAAGTGCTATGTGAGTAATATTAGACCCCTCATTTATATTTTTGATTTAAATATGAAAATAAATATTAATTATTATATACACGTAATTACTTAAATGCACACTTGAATGTGAGTTTAGAATTACAACTAAATGCACAAATAAAGATGAATGACAAATATGATATATGAATTAATGTGAATATTAATATCAAGGAATATATGTGACAATGAATATTAAATAAATATAATTTAATTTTCAATTAAGTGAAATTGGATGCTAATTGGCATACATGAACGTTAATAATGAATTGTATTCTTAACCGTGAAATTCTAATTAATATTAATTAAATGAATGTGAATGGAAAATAACAAGAATTTCTTATTTCAACCAACTTTTGAGCTATACAAGAAATGCTATTGAGGTTAAAGAAAACTTCATACATTCTTGCAAACATAGGAAACTTGTCAAGTTGAGGTCGAAGTAATAAAAGCTCTTCATTATTGAAGTTCAAATGATAGAACTGAGCAAGACGTAACAATTTATTCTTATCAAAAGCTGCAAATGAATCTCTTGGATTTAAACACGAAATGCAAGTTAAAAGTTCAGTAGTTGTCTCTGGAAAACGATCATTCAACTATTGCAAGATTAAATCTATCACATGACAATACAAATCAACATAAAAGCGATGATAATAAGTCACCTACTGAGCTTCACGTCTAGGTCGACCTTTCAATACTACAATATCCTCTATATTGGACACTAAAATATGTACCAAGACAAAACTTAATCACCCTACTTAACAAATTATCCCAACCATTGTCTCTCATGTCTTGTAATGCATATTTCCACAAATTCAATAACCTCATAGCAATATGAATATCTTGATCCTTTTTCTGTGATGCTTGTGAAATGTCATCTGTAATTTTAAGAATTTCAAACACTCGTCACTCGTTAGTCATTAATATAATGTGGTCTTTAGGTAGATGATGGCCTTCCCCATAACTCCTCCGCCAAGGATTATCAAAGGTAGATGATGCGAAGCAAGGCAAGAACGGGATTACAATATCTTCCTTATTTATTTAATTTTTAAATAACTTTTATATCTAAACATAAAAATAAAATTCATGACAAGTTCAGAACAAGAACCATGTTCTCAATCCTAGCCAAATCTAGCAGAAAAAATGAAAAATCCCCACGGTACTAAATATATTTCATTATTTCTTCGTAGTTACAACAATTTTTCCATTTGACACACACACTCAATTGGCAGTGATTGAAGAAATGTTTTAATGTGGCACCATACTCGTATAGTCTGAATAGAAATT